TCTCAACAAAGGAACCCACAATGTCAACAAAGGAACCCACAGTCTCAACAAAGGAACCCACAATGTCAACAAAGGAACCCACAGTCTCAACAAAGGAACCCACAGTCTCAACAAAGGAACCCACAGTCTCAACAAAGGAGCTCACAATGTCAACAAAGGAACCCACAGTCTCAACAAAGGAACCCACAATGTCAACAAAGGAACCCACAGTCTCAACAAAGGACCCCACAGTCTCAACAAAGGAACCCACAGTCTCAACAAAGGAGCTCACAATGTCAACAAAGGAACCCATAGTCTCAACAAAGGAACCAACAATGTCAACAAAGGAACCCACAGTCTCAACAAAGGAACCCACAGTCTCAACAAAGGAACCCACAGTCTCAACAAAGGAACCCACAATCTCAACAAAGGAACCGCTGTTCTTTTGAGGGTACCACTGAGTTGGTACCACTGGAAAGTCCAGGTTGCCTGACACATAAATAACCAGTTCTCTGAGGTCAGGTCCCGACAGTTCTTTGGGTTTATGGGAGTCAAGTCTATTCTGAAGGCAAAGAGAGCAGAGGATATGAAGATGTAAAAACAAATTGTACTTTAGATGAGAATTATCCACTTGAAAGGACAAGCAGACCAACCTGGAGTGGGTAGAAGAACAGAAGATACTTCTTAAAGAAAGACCTACAGGAAAAAATACAAAACAATAGAGGCAGATGGACTGTTACTACAAGAACAAACAAATCGCTTCCCCAGGAAACAGCAAGGCAAGTGGTCAGGTCCCCTCAATGCAAACCCCCTTCCAAGACTAAGACTCAACGGAAATACACGCTCTGATTGGTGACCACATGCATCACCGATAGGGGGAAAAGGGGTAAAAGTAGCAATGTAGCGGCAAGCTAAGGCCTACAATGTTTGGTGGGCTTTTGTGGACCCAGTTGGGGATCTGGTTGGCAAGCAGTATAAGGAGACCTGGGGACTCTTGGGCCCAGAGTCAGTGGCGTGGCCACGGAGGACTCGAATGGAGAGTGGAGTTACTGGCTGATGGGAAGAGAGGGCATGTGCCCAAGAATGCCCACACTTACAGATGGTACCCACGTGACCTGGACCGGAGGACTGGATGATCAGAGCTCAATCAGAAGAAGAAAGAAGAGTAAAAAAAAAGAGTGATCTGATACAATTTGATGAACTTGACCTACACCTATGGATACAGTGACTCAAAAGAAGGAACAAATGCTTACAGCAAAAAACATTCCCACCCCCTCCACACACAGAGTAGACAGAGATGGGCAACGTGGACATTGGATACCCAAATTGGGGTGGGGGTGGGGGACTACAAAGGCAAGAAGTGACTGGCTTACAAGCTTTCAAGAGGAAACCTACTAGGAGGCATGGAGGAAGGCAGAACCTCCAGTGAGTAGTATCCAATCTGTCTAGGCGGAGCTGATGAAATGAAATACAGATGGATCACTTGTGATACTGTAGTGAATAACTGTTATCAGGACTGATTATGAGGGTTGGAAATGCAAAGGTAGATGTTTTATAGCAAGGAAGGGAGTGATGAATTCTCCAGTCTAGGAGTGGAAGTCTCTAGGACCATCAACAGAGAAGAGCCGAGAGTGGGACCCTACCCAGAGAAGCAGAGATGCCTGAGATAGAGACAGAGA